GTTTCCACTGGCTCTACTGGCTCTGCCTTCTGCTCGACGCTCTCAGGTCGATGCTCAATGTCTGATATGCTCATTGTCTGCCGGCCGGGCTGAGTCGGCCTACTACTTTCAGGTCCTCCAGGGGCTGCAGCGAGCTCAACCTTCTTAAACGTATCCTGATAACATGCCCTGGCCATCTTCTGGTTCCCCTTCAGCACTCCCACCCCCTGCGGAGTTGGGAACTTCATACAGAGGTGGGGCTGTGAGATAACAGCCTTCAGCTCGCACAGGGTGGCTCTTCCTAGTATAGCATTGAAGGCTGATTCCATCTTAACGACCAGGAAGGTGACCGAAGCCATCCTGAAGCGCGATTCTGAGCCTACATATATAGGGAGAGTAATAACTCCCTCCACAGGGACGGGCTGATTATCAAATCCGTAAATTGGTCCTTCATGCTTTTGCAGCGAGCTCGGATTTAGCTGCATCTTCTGGAAACAACCCCAATACAGGATATCTGGCGAACTGCCAGTGTCAATAAACACCTTATTGACATTATGATTGCTTATATGAACTGTTGTCACAAAGGGATCTGCATGGGGCATCATAATGTCAGACTCTCCTTCTGCTCGCTTGTAATCCGCCAGGCTAAATGTGATGGGCATATTTTCCCATTCTGCTTCCTCAAACGGTCGTTTCAAGGGTCTGTTTTTGTTGACGGTCATCACCTGTCGGGCATATGCCTTGCGAGCTCGGGCGCTTTGGCCCCCAGAGTGAACACCACCCGATATCATGTTTATTGTACCAGAAGGTGGGGGTATCCCAGCATAACCTACCCCTTTTCTGTCTTTTTGATTCGGGGCAGTAGTCCTCGGTCCCTGCCCTCTCCTGTTGAAAGGACGTCCTCGATACGCTCTGCTCTGTTCAGAAGGATACTGGTTATCCAGATACGCATCCTGCGTCCCTCCATGCTGGTACCTCTGTCCTTGAGGTCGGTCATACGCCTGCACAAAATGGGTTTGAGTGGGTTGCTGGGTGTGAGGCTTCTGAACATACCCTTCTAGCTTCCCGTTACGAGCCAAAAACTCTAGCTCGTCCTTCAAGTGTTGGCAATCCTCGGTATTGTGACCATATACACGATGGTAGTCACAATGCTTGCTCTTATCTGCCCTCGGGGAATCATGTAGTGGGGGTGGAGGTCTCCGAACCCAGTGCTGAATTTGTGCCAGGATTTGAGACCTGGGTAAGGTCAAAGGAATGTAACTGGCATATTTTGGGAACTCAGCTAGTTTCCCCCATTGTTCACCGACCTTCTGCTTCTTCTTTTCTTCTCTTCTTGGTTGTTGTTCTTGGCCTCTGTTCGGCTTATCATCAGCTCGTCGCTTGGACGACTGAAAGTCCTCTGACAGTATGAAGCTGGCCGACCTGTCATTCACCTCATTCCACGTCTTCGGTGGGTTTTCAAGCAAGTCGTCTAGGAACCGGCCACGCTTCAACCCATGCAACAAGGCTGACAGGCAGATTGTGTCTGGGACATTATCAATGTCCAATGTGGCTTTGTTGAACCGCTGCATGTAATCCCTCAGGGACTCCCCTTCCTTCTGGCTAACTTGCATCAGCTCAGTTGCTGTGCGCTTGATCTC